TCGACTTGTATAATAGATCGGCTGTTGGGCCCCTCCAGCTTCTCGCAGGAATATAGAACTCAAAGAAAAGATTCCCACCGAGATATAGAGCACCAATTCGTCGCCCGGATCCGGCATTGTTAACAACGGTAGTTCGCTCAAAAACTCTTTCAACTTTTCAAACGCCATTTGAGCCTCGTCACTCCACTGAAAAGCTTTTTTCTTGAGTAACTTGAAGAATGGGAAACTCTTTTCCGCCGCCCGAGCTATGAATCGACTTAGGCCTGCAATTCGACCTGTCAGGACTTGCACTTCTCTAACATTCTTTGGCGGGGCCATGTCGAGTATGGCTTGCACTTTGTCCTTATTCACTTTGATGCCTCTTTCAGTTACGATATAGCCCAGGAATCGTCCTGCCTTCACTCCAAAGGCACATTTACTCGGGTTTAGCTTCATTCCAAATGTTCTTAGTGTCGTAAATGTTTCCCTCAAGTCATCTACATGCGAGATCGAGGACCTACTTTTCACCAAGATATCATCCACGTAAACTTCCATATTTCGCCCAATCTGCGATTTGAACATTTGATCCATCAACCTTTGGTATGTTGCCCCTGAGTTCTTAAGCCCGAAAGGCATAACGACATAACAATATGTCCCTTTGCTCGTCACGAAACTAACTTTGCTTTGATCTTCAGGAGCCAAGGAAATTTGGTGGTATCCCTAGGATGCGTCCATCATACTTAGCAATTGACAGCCAGCTGTGGAGTCGACCAGCTGGTCGATTCTCGGCAGGGGGTAGTGGTCCTTTGGGCAAGCTAAATTTAGATCACGAAAATCAATACACATACGCCACTTATTTAGCGCTTTCCTCACCATCACTGTGTTTGATATCCATTCTGGGAATTGAATTTCTTTGACATGTTTGGCTTTCAGCAACTTATCCACCTCGACTTCCATGGCTTTGTCGATCTCTACGCCATGGTGCCTAAGCCGTTGTTTCACGGGCTTTTTTAGGGGGTCGACATTAAGCTTATGCTCCATGACATCGGGATCGATTCCTGTTAACTCTTCAGGGGAAAAAGCAAATATATCCCTGAATTCTTTCAACAGTCCCACTAACTGTTGACGCAACTCGTCTTCCAACTCTCTCCCTACTTTAGTGGTCTGCTCTTCTTTTTCCCCGATTTGAATCTCCATTAATTCTCCATGTGGCTCTAGGTCACTCTCCCTTTGTATTTTTTCGTTTGACATCGGCTTTTTTCCTTCTTTTACCTCCGTCTGTTGGTTTGTT